CAATTTTTGCATTGTTACTTATACTTATTTTAATTTTTTCTACATAGTAAGTTCATCTACAATCTATGATATTTCCATATAAATAATTATATTTTAGCTCATTTGTGGCACAGTGCAGTGGCAGGCTGGATGAACTAACCTCATGCGCCGTAGTTTGGTGACCCCTGCCATAGGCCATCCCCCTTGTTAGACAAACCTATATGGTATAGTAGTAATAGTGGTTTGACACATACTGATCACAAAATTAATTTTTCGAGTAAATTACTGTCTAATAAATTAAAATTACAAATAATTTTTAAAATTAAATTAAGATTGCAAATAAAAATTTGTCGAATGGAATTATTTCAGGTCACAAAATTAATTTAATTCAAATTTGTAATTAGAAAATTAGTTTTGTGATCAGTACATGTCAAATCACTACTACTTATAGTTTATTACTCATACATCCTGTATATAACACAATTGCAATACAATGATAAGTATTTATGTATCTAAACAGAAAAGGTACAGTAAAGTATGATATTTCATGTCTTTGTAAATTGTAAGTGGATAAGATATAGGTTGAACTCTACTTCAGCAAGAGATTTACGCTTAAATTTGATAAGCTTTGAAAGAAGCGACCTTTCCATATTCTACAAGGCACCTCAAAGACATACAGGGAAAGCTTTCCAGTTGATGGAGATGCACTTTAGGACTATGTCGTCAACTTGCTAAAGTGCAACCCCCTGCACTTTAGCAAGATCAGCTGGGTGTGCATCCTGTACCATTGCTTTTTCAGGTTTAGCGTAACAAAAAAGGATACCCATTGTTCAGAATTCATCATGGAAATTAACTATAATTCAGAAATGGACATCATACCAATCGTTTACTAAGAGAAACTTCTTAACATATAGGCGTTAAATTACAAATGAATGTCACTAGATCGACAAGCACTTTCAATGATAATTATTTTCATCTTCGTCAGGTCATTAAAAACAGTTAGTCCTTTTTTGAATATGAATATCAAATTATTCCAATGGTATTAATGTTTTGGAACGAAAGCAACAGTAGAACGTAAGAAAAAAGAATTTAAATAAAAACATGTGTGGTTATAATGTGCATGTGCTAATAAGCCTCCAAACTGTGGAGCTATATATGTTATCTTAGGCAATTATACAAGTTAACCCACAAAGGGGGCGAATCAAGTGTGGGGGTGTTGCATGGATTTAGTATGTTGATAAGGAGGGCCTCCTAAATATACACGAGGCTTCTGTTATTACAATGTCTTAGAATGTCCACCTGGCCCCACAACGGGGTGTGTTGGTGTTGCAACACCATTCTAGTGAGCTCAGTTTCGTTCTTGCCTGCCCTGATAGGACACTGATGTTCCGAAATACGATAAGACAACATTCTGGTTGTCGCGCCAATATAGTGGGTGCAACCACCCGACATATTTTCCAGTGGGATAGAATAAACCCCAGATCTTTCTAGCGTGGAAGTAGGATCTCTGTCGTTGGATAGCAACCTCCTAAGACCTGGCCGTGGAGAAACCGGCAGAAAAAGCACGTCGCCTAAAAATACAGCAAATACAGACAGTGACATGACCACAAAACGGTAGCGCAGGAAGGACTATTGTAGATTTTTTTGGGAGATGTAGTGTAGTAGTGGAAAAAAGCAATCTTTTTACCTTATTTAAGATGTACATAAACTTGGCATTAGTATAGCCTGCCTCATTTACCGCAGAGCGAATAGCATTAAGGCTCAGTATTGATAGCAGCTTGGCTGGAAGATAACAGAAAGGCCCTTCTGATTAAAGGGACAATTGCCGCATTGATGTAATGTTGCGGCTGGTATCTTGTAGCAGGGATTAGGAGAGGAACACCGCTGAATTTGTGGAATACGGAATATAGTATAGTATCCCGGAATTTAGTAATTTTTAGATCCAAAAATGTGATTTCTCTTTCATTGCTTTTTTCCCAGGTAAAATTAATTGTGGGATAAACGGTCGCAAGAAAATCTCCATGGATATCCTGCCAAGCTACTAGAATATCATCAATGTATCTAAGGTATAACAGCAGATATGCTATCATGAGGGGAAAGCTAAAAACCTTGAATTCAATATTCCTCATGATCAATTCTGCCAAAACTGCTGAAAGTGGTGAGCTCATCGGGACTCCTTGCTGCTGTAGATATACTTTGCCCTTGAACTGAAAATAATTATTTTCGGAAATAAAAAGTAGAGCTTCGCGTATTTCTAAAACTTCTTGTGCTATAAAGCCCTTCTTGATTAGTAGCACATTATCAAGCATAACAGCCTCAAACTGCAGTACCGAGGGATAAAGAGCAACTACATCCAACTTGTAGAAACTATACTCATTTTGTGAAATGTTGTTTAGGACAGAAGATATATGGGCGTTCGCTGCAACAAAGGAAAAGGTAACCAAACAGGAAGGAGATAGGAGCCCACTTAATAACTTGGCCAGCACCTTTTCAAGATAGAAGGCTGGGTGGGTCCTTTTATTAACTAGCGATCTCAACAGCCTCCTTATGGGTTTTAACCTCGAAAAAGAGCCTGGGGCAAGCTACGTTGGACGGGGGATTGACACGCATGAGAACAGCAGAAATAGTTGGAAGAGATACTATTTTCTTAACTTTTCTTAGGATGGTAGAAGTTGGATCAGTTTGCAAGGGCACTGCACAGGAATGGCCGAGGAAGTCAGCAGCCCTGGCTACAAAATATTCCTCCTTACATAACACAAACTTTTTCTCTTTGTCCGAGATCAGGAGCCGTAAATTGTTCGTTTCCAAGTACTGTCTTACAAGATGGCTGTTGACATAATTTCTGCTGGCAACCATGGATTGCTTTTGAAAAGTGAGCACAGAAACAATGGAAAGTTCCGTGTTTGGGAACTCGAGACTTGACAACTCTTCAATGCTGCCAGAACCGCCGGGATCGTATCCGATGTGCAGGTGCCGCGTGGCAGAGGGATAAATGCTGATCTTCTTGCTAAAGTGCAGGGAGCACGACATAGTCCCAAAGTGCATCTCCATCAACCAGAAAGACTTCCTTGTATGTCTTCGAGGTGCCTTGCAGAATATGGAAAGGTCGCTTCTTTTGAAGTTTATCAAATTTAAGCATAAGTCTTTGGCTGAAGTAGAGCTCAACCTATATATCGCCCACCTACAATTTACAAAGACCTGCAACCTGGCCTCTCTGTATATCCAATTGGGATGATATTTCATGTTTTGATGTTTAATTAACCCCTTCTGAGCTACGCTCGAGTGTGACTCGAGCAAGTTTCATAGCGTTACGTAAAAAACGATTGTTAAGGTCACTTTTGAAATTTTTTTTTTTTTTTTAATTTTTGGAATGTTTTTAGGTCCCNTTCTGAGAAGTTACTAAACTTGTGTGAAATTTGACATTATCGTGGCAAAACACTACACCTGTTTTGTTGATCAATTCTGCCCGCCTTTTCTGTTTAATGATATTACTCAATTTGTTTACTCGATGGCAGTACACTTTCGAATCGATTGTTAAATTGTCTGGTAAAGCTCCAAAAAAAAAATTTCCTTAAAATCCCACCAAAGAGAGCATCTCTCTTTAAAAACATGTGGAACCCATATATCAAGCTTTGAAACAAAACCAATTTGTTTCAAGTAATCATAAACAATTCAATTTGACAAATTTAATCTCTTAGTGATTTCACATGTTGTTATTTGGCAGTTTGCTTCAATGAGTACCTTTATTTTGTTTTTATTGGCTTCAACTGGCCATCCAGAATGTGGTGCATTTTCAATATTGAAATTGCCAGAATGAAATTTTGTAAACCAGTTTTGGCCCTGTCTTTCTCTCAACACATCTTCTTACATGTACCATAATTTTTTCTTGCTTGAACAGCATTTTGATTTTTTGGTAATAAAAAAGCAAAATATGCCGAAAATGATGCTTTTGATTTTCCATATTTAATGGGGGGGGAACAATTGTACAGAATCAAACAATATTTTTTACAAATACACCTTAAAATATCAGCTATCAAAGTATATAATGAAAATTTGGTTTAAAATGAAATGGGCTGGTAAAAATACATCTAATTCCTCTAGTAATGAAAAACGAAATTACTTTCCAAACAACCCAATATTTTATATCTGCAGAATTTTCAATGTAAACAATAAAACATGAACTTTCAATATTGACAAAAAATGATAGGCATTTCTATTTAATAACTAAAACAGTGCCACCGTATCATAAGACCATAAATGTATTCATCCCTCAGTTTCAAAATACGTACAGTACTTTATCCTTGTACTTGTCAAATTTTTTTATTTGTTTTATTCCAAATTTTGTGCACAAAATGAGACTAATTATATATATATATATATTTTTTACAATATTACTAATATTTATACAATTAAAATTTGCATAAAATACATCATATCACTACATTATATTTGCTTTATCTTTCCCTTCTATTAAAACTAGTATAAATTTTATAATATAATTGTATAAAATGATATATTTAAGTATTTTATTTTTTCTTTTTGCCTGTTTTAGTATGACACTAGTAGTTGAAGTTCTGTTTCTGAAAATAAACTTTTAACTTTTAACACTGATCCTAATGGAAATGAACTTCAGTTTATGCAGATTGCTTAACAATATTTTTTAAAAACTAATTAAATCATAAAAACAGCAATCTATTATATTTGATAAAATTTCCAGGATGATAATTGTAAATTCACAAAAAATTTAAAAAACTAGACAATAAAAAAGTTCTTTTTATGTCCTTTCTCACACCTCAAGAAATAACAGTCTTAAGGCAGAATCTACTTTTAGACTATACAATAAAAATCATCTTATGATATTGTCTTTTAAATTTTTCATGAATTTACAATCTTTTATATTGTTAACTTTATTATAAAAATATAGTTTAATTTATTAAATTATTTAGTCATAAAAATTAATTAATATAAATCTTTCTTAATCTAAATTTATATATAATTAATTAATTAATATAATACTCAACTGAGATTGTTGATACATAGCTTTCAAATAATCTGGTGCCTGTAATTTATCATTTACAATATTATTATTTGATTCTAACTCTCTTCTTTTTTGAAGTTGTTGATTAAGTTCTTGTATTTCTTGTTTACTTTGAAATAAAGACTGTTCAAGTTTTTCTATGTAAACTGCATCTGCCTTTACTGATGCCATATTCCAAAGTGTTGACATTTGATACTAGAAACAGTAATTTAAAAGTTTATTAATATACCACAAATTTGAAAATAAATTATGCTTGTCTAAGCTTCATTAATTTGGTTTAAGACAATTTTTCAAAAGTTGTAGTCTCAAACATCAAAATTCATAAACATTTTTGAAGAGAACTGAAATCTACATTTAAACTTCTTTGTCCATTTTATATTGAAACAAGTAAAATGGCAAAACCGTATTTGGGACAAGACTATGTCTCGGAGACTCACTACTAAGCGGAATCACTTTGACGCTCAAGGCAGGTCTCATTCTCATTCTCCTATCTTCTTTGGCATCACTGCTTTTGGGCGCAATCGTTCAAACTTCACTGGGCACGACCACAAAGTCGTCCACAATGCATTTTCAATGAAATTAACCAATCCAATTTCAAAATTTTTCTCTGTTGCATGTTGGCCCAAGTTGAATTTTTGTCGATGTGTAATGAAAATTTCCCGTTTTTGAAAAAAAATAATCGTGGCTATTGTATTGTCCGAAATTATTTTTTTATTTTGCACAAACAATATACAGTTTAACCTGATTATAACGTCATTGGATCTAACGACAACCCTAATATAACGTCAAATTTTTATCAGTTCCACGATTTTACTATACTAGATAATGTTAAAAAACCCCACTTGTAATGACACCCTGTTTTAATGTTATATTTGAAGCACTCCCAAATTTACATAATTAGATTACAAATTTTATTTAACATAGAAGAAACTACGTGTTCAGTCCTAAGGTCAGAGTTCACTTCTTAGAATGACTGTGGGTGGTACTCTCCCCCACCTGACTTCGGTGGGGTGAGGTGCCTGTTTTGCCTGTTTGTAGAAGAGGGTCGCCATTTTGTATTTTATTTTGACTTGGTTCTTGGTCCCCTGACTACCTACAAGTCTGGATTTTTTTATGCACAAATGATTTGGCACCTAATACTCTGTGCCAAATATCAACTCTCGACATGTACTGTACTCCTTCATACCTCTATACTGGTAACATAAAACGGCAGTACAATTTTATAAACAAGACATAGTCTTGTCAATAAGAAATAAAACAACAAGAATATTTCATAAAATTTATTCAAGTAATTTATAAAAAAAATCTGCTAAAAACATCTACAAACTTAAAATTAGCAATTGATAATGGAGTAAAATGAAGACTTATATGGTATAAGAAATTTAGATGATCTAAATGACTTTTCTTTAAAAAAATCTTTATGTTATTCAAACTTCAGAAACATTAGCCACAGAAGGTATATATCAGAATACTAATAATCAAAATTAGAGTTGATAGAATATTTTAGTAATTAAACAAATTAAAAGAAAGTTTGTAATTTCACAGCCAAAACTTTCAAATTTAAAAATTTATTAAATTGGTTTAGTTTGTCAAGGTCAAATTAATAAATTGAAATAACAATTTTTAATTTTTAAGGTGATTTTGTATTCTTTTATTTTATAAATTGATACTCAATTTCATATGGTTTTCTAAACAAAATAAACTGATTATTTGAAAAATCGTTGAACATGATGATAATATATTTAAATTATTCTTCATACAGATCATCTCAATTCCAAAAGCACAAAAGAAAAACACAATATTTAAGGAATAAATAAATTTAATGACAAATCAGCATAAAACAATTTGGACATTTCTTCTTTCATTAAAAATGAAAGTAATGCAAATTTAGATAAAAGTTTTTAAATTTGACATGTATATAAGTATTTAAAGAATACATTTATCTTTAGTAAAATGCTTGTTTTATCATACACCAGTGACAATTCCAGTTGAAAACATGTTTATAATTTATGAAAATATAAAATTTATTTATATGAGATTTAGACATAAATTTTTAAAATTTACTGTTATTATTTTAATCATACATTTTATCTTTATAGAGTCTATATCAAAAATAGATACCATTAAAAAAGAAATGTAGTAGCTAGTTACTATATATTAGTATTTGAAGGAAATTTTTTCATCCCTTGAAGAATTGTCTTACACCAAGTTATATATAAATGCAACTTTATTTACATATTATATGAAATGTTATTATTATTAATTAAAATAATTATTCTTACTTTCATTTTATTCATTTGTTGTCTTGCAAACTGTAGTGATTCTTTACTGGCTTGATATTTAACTCTCAGAGATACTAATTCTTTTTCCACTTGTTTGCGTTTATCATCTACTTCAACAAAAAGTGAATTACCACGACGATTTGGATCAGTTTGTCCAAATTTAAGATTCTCTATTTCAGCTTTCAGCATACAAATTTCATCTTTACATTCCTATTTGAAAATTACTTCATTAAAAAAATTTTCAATGAAAATTACAGGGTGACCCAAAAGTCGGTGAGGGTTTCAAGTTTTAATAAATTCCTTAATTTTACTGAGTAATGCATGACATTTTAATACAATCTAAAGAACATAATGGAGATTAATTTACACTAGTCAATTTCTGTCACACTTTTACATTACCTATGAAAAATGACATCATCTAAATGATGACCATTTTTGACTTCGCACACCCGTCTCTTTCCAAAACTTGCACCATAACAGCTTCAAGGGTTTCAGGCACCACTTCCCTGATTTCTCTATTAATGTTCTCCTTCAGTTGCTTCAGGGTCTCTGATTTGTTGACATAAACCCTTTCTTTCAGATACCCCCACAAGAAGAAGTCAGGACTAGTCAAGTCTGGGGAATTTGATGGCCAGTTGACATTGCCATAGCAGGAGATTATTCTGTCTGCAAAGCATTGCCATAACTGCATTGTCTCTCTTACAGTATGAGCAGTTGCACCATCCTGCTGGAAATGGCTGTCATTTAAAAGATGTCATTTAATTTTTCATACACAATGTAGAGGTGTGACAAAAATTGACTAGTGCAAATTAATGCACATTCCATTGCCTTTCAATGCTAAGAGTATTATAAGACTATAATGAGTACTATTCAATGGTAAATTTGTTAGTTGATATATATCTTTGTTCTCTACAGAAACAATTTATCACTGTAAAAATACATACCTCTATATTTTCTTTATAATTTTTAATTTCTGTATCTTTATTACTTAATTCTTCTTGAATTTTATTATAATTTTCAACTATTTTTCTTTCTTGACTTTGAAATGTCTCCAACTCATGATTCAGATCTGTTATTGTATTTTCCAATATTTGCTGTTCAATATAAAATAAAAAATAAATTTGATTAATTATATTTTATAAATTTGCTATTTAAAAAAAAATGTTAATTATTCCATTTTGAAAGAATATAAATTCTGAATTAAAATGTTAATAAAATGTTACAATAATAATATGACCACATATTTAACTCTGAATCATATTTATACTAAATTGCCAAACGATCGCCTAAATATTGGGCTATTATATGGCTAATTAAATGATTAGAATAAAGTAATTTGTCATTAGAGGTAGGCGTTAGGCGCCATCTCTTAAGTAAATTAATAATTAAAATTAAATAAATAAATTATTAAATTAATTTTAGAACCTTCTGGAATAAAAGAACTGGCCCGGGACGGGGCTATATACCTCGCCGGGTATTACGTTATCTGGCTGAGTGCCATTGGGGTCGTGGGCGATAAAGTCGTCCCCAGTCAGTGATGTATTTAACCAAGTAAGGTTATATCTAATCTAATATACTTCTGGAAGCGAAGACTCGCTCGGGGTCTGGGTGGCGTAACTGGCAAGCGCATCCGGCACGGCACCCGGGACAGTTCAAGCCCCGTCCCGGGCCAGTTCTTTTATTCCAGAAGGTTCTAAAATTAATTTAATAATTTATTTATTTAATTTTAATTATTAATTTACTTAAGAGATGGCGCCTAACGCCTACCTCTAATGACAAATTACTTTATTCTAATCATTTAATTAGCCATATAATAGCCCGATATTTAGGCGATCGTTTGGCAATTTAGTATATATACTATTTGGGCTTTGAATGTTGTTATTTATGAATCATATTTAATATTTAAATTACATAAAATTAAATCTTAACAATACTTTTAATTCAAAGTAATCTATTAAAACATTTTTTATTAATTACAGACACCACTTAAAAACAGAGATATGTTCCAAGAAATACACTCTTAAGCAAACTTTATAGAATGTACTTACAAGGAGACAGCACAAGACGACACGTGTTAGGAGTTGAGTCATTATTTTATGTTTTGGGTGTTACCTTTAGTTCCCCCCTTTTCAGGGATGTTTTATTAATATTATGTTTTAAGGCTGAAAACTCCCAAAAACCACTAAAATTAAGTTCAAAACATTCACTTACATGCGTGACTGATCCTGTAATGCAAATCATTGCTAATCTCAAATGGCATCTTTAGCCAGGGATCTCAAAAATAAGTCACTAAGCCAAAATATAATAAAATAAGAAAATAAGAAAGCGTCTGATTTGAAAAAATTGCAACATAAATTGGGAGAAAAAAAATTGTTCAAAAAGAATAAACAAAATTGTTACTATGTATGTAAACAGGATAGTGCTGCAATACACTTTTTAATGTCATCATAAGCCAGATAAAAGACAAACACCAATTCAAGGGGAAGTTCCTGAAAGCAAGGTTGATGAGTACCAATATCAGAGGTGATCTCCTGGATAGAGAATTTTCTGGCAGTCTTTTTGGTATTAGGCACTTAACTTGTAAAAGATGCTGTGTTATTTTTTTAAAATTATATTTAGTTGAACCTGGTGGAGATTAGATTAAGTTAGTTTTAACCCCAAATTGGAAAATTTTTTTTATAATTGCTTTTCTTGTACATGATTAATTTGGTGTTTTGAATAGTTTGAAATATATATATTTTTATAATTTATTATGTAAGATAATTATTAATTATAAGTTATTTTCATATTATGTCATTTGAAATATGTTTTTTCTTTTCTGTTAAAAGTTGTTGGAATTACTGCCACCATGTCCCAGTTTAGACCTGGTACTTGATTGAACCCAAATTTTATGCAACACTATTTTGTTAGGTGTTATCCAGACTTAATTTTTATCAAATTTGGTGAGTTTATTGACAATGATTGACATTTGCCAAGCAGTAAGGCACACTATTCAAAATTAAATGAGAAAATTAAAGTTGAAAATTGCATAATCACTAAAACCTTTAAAATCTTATTTGCAGAGTAGTTGGTGACTTGATTGAGGCATGATAGTTTCAGAGTCATGTAGTTGGTATTTCAAATCCAACTGGTATCAATCCTGCTGGTATCAATGCAAGTTTTTCTTCTTATTTTATAAAACTATAATTTTCATATTATTCTTGGTATTTTTTAAATTTATTACATTTATTTAAAAATTATTTTCAAACATTTCTGAACATTTAGGATTCATATGTAATATTTATTGTATTTATAATTTACTTGAGATGATGATAAGATATAAACAAAATTATCATTATTCAAAACTAACTTTGTTAATAAAAAAAAGACAGTTTTTTATTAACATTATTCAATCTGTTTGCTCCTTGGAAGCACAATTATGTTTAAACATAATTTATTTTGCAATATATATTCATGCAGCAATTTTTCTGAAGAACAAATTTCTATGCTATCAATGTTAACATGAGATATCAAAGCCATCTTTTCATTTGTTAACAAAAGATGATGCAATTATACACACGTTTAGGTTAAACAATGGCTTTGTCAGAGTAAAACAGTACATATTGTACTGTACATGTACATGAATATACACAAAATGTTTTGTTTTTAAATAAATATTGTTAGGTAGTATTTCTTAATTGGTTTTGACATTGACTTGTTACTTGAAATAGTTTATAGTTTTCTAAAAATAAAATCAGTTTCTCTCATTGACAATATAATAAATTAAAAAAACACCAAGAATAAAGTGAAAATTATAGTTTTAGAAAAAAAAAAAAACCACATTGAAAACAGGAGGATTTAAGACACCAACCTCATGAATATTAAAGTAGCACACCCCAACTGAGCTACTGGCCACTCTGCAAATAATAGAAATTCTAAAGGTTTTAAGTAATTCTGCAATTTTCAGCTTCAATTTTCTAGTTTAATTTTGAGTAGTGCATCTTACTGCTTGGTGCATGTCAATCATTGGAGATGCACTATATACTCACCAAGTTTGATCAAAATAGGTGATCCAATAGGCCTGGGGTAACCAAACTCTTTTCACAGTGGACCAGATAACTGAGCAAATGATGAGTGCGGGCTGCATAACCATTTTGTTCAATATAGTAAACTGAATACACAAAAAATAAAGAAAGCCAACATATTTATTTACCAATACACAACATTGATTGCTGCAGCAGGCTCATAATTGCTTTTCTTAGAAACTTCATTGCAGGTACTTACACAAAAAACATTCTGATATCCAAAGTTTTCACTGATTTTCTTAAAAATTATATTACTATCAGATTGGACCAATTTTTGCATTGTTACTTATACTTATTTTAATTTTTTCTACATAGTAAGTTCATCTACAATCTATGATATTTCCATATAAATAATTATATTTTAGCTCATTTGTGGCACAGTGCAGTGGCAGGCTGGATGAACTAACCTCATGCGCCGTAGTTTGGTGACCCCTGCCATAGGCCATCCCCCTTGTTAGACAAACCTATATGGTATAGTAGTAATAGTGGTTTGACACATACTGATCACAAAATTAATTTTTCGAGTAAATTACTGTCTAATAAATTAAAATTACAAATAATTTTTAAAATTAAATTAAGATTGCAAATAAAAATTTGTCGAATGGAATTATTTCAGGTCACAAAATTAATTTAATTCAAATTTGTAATTAGAAAATTAGTTTTGTGATCAGTACATGTCAAATCACTACTACTTATAGTTTATTACTCATACATCCTGTATATAACACAATTGCAATACAATGATAAGTATTTATGTATCTAAACAGAAAAGGTACAGTAAAGTATGATATTTCATGTCTTTGTAAATTGTAAGTGGATAAGATATAGGTTGAACTCTACTTCAGCAAGAGATTTACGCTTAAATTTGATAAGCTTTGAAAGAAGCGACCTTTCCATATTCTACAAGGCACCTCAAAGACATACAGGGAAAGCTTTCCAGTTGATGGAGATGCACTTTAGGACTATGTCGTCAACTTGCTAAAGTGCAACCCCCTGCACTTTAGCAAGATCAGCTGGGTGTGCATCCTGTACCATTGCTTTTTCAGGTTTAGCGTAACAAAAAAGGATACCCATTGTTCAGAATTCATCATGGAAATTAACTATAATTCAGAAATGGACATCATACCAATCGTTTACTAAGAGAAACTTCTTAACATATAGGCGTTAAATTACAAATGAATGTCACTAGATCGACAAGCACTTTCAATGATAATTATTTTCATCTTCGTCAGGTCATTAAAAACAGTTAGTCCTTTTTTGAATATGAATATCAAATTATTCCAATGGTATTAATGTTTTGGAACGAAAGCAACAGTAGAACGTAAGAAAAAAGAATTTAAATAAAAACATGTGTGGTTATAATGTGCATGTGCTAATAAGCCTCCAAACTGTGGAGCTATATATGTTATCTTAGGCAATTATACAAGTTAACCCACAAAGGGGGCGAATCAAGTGTGGGGGTGTTGCATGGATTTAGTATGTTGATAAGGAGGGCCTCCTAAATATACACGAGGCTTCTGTTATTACAATGTCTTAGAATGTCCACCTGGCCCCACAACGGGGTGTGTTGGTGTTGCAACACCATTCTAGTGAGCTCAGTTTCGTTCTTGCCTGCCCTGATAGGACACTGATGTTCCGAAATACGATAAGACAACATTCTGGTTGTCGCGCCAATATAGTGGGTGCAACCACCCGACATATTTTCCAGTGGGATAGAATAAACCCCAGATCTTTCTAGCGTGGAAGTAGGATCTCTGTCGTTGGATAGCAACCTCCTAAGACCTGGCCGTGGAGAAACCGGCAGAAAAAGCACGTCGCCTAAAAATACAGCAAATACAGACAGTGACATGACCACAAAACGGTAGCGCAGGAAGGACTATTGTAGATTTTTTTGGGAGATGTAGTGTAGTAGTGGAAAAAAGCAATCTTTTTACCTTATTTAAGATGTACATAAACTTGGCATTAGTATAGCCTGCCTCATTTACCGCAGAGCGAATAGCATTAAGGCTCAGTATTGATAGCAGCTTGGCTGGAAGATAACAGAAAGGCCCTTCTGATTAAAGGGACAATTGCCGCATTGATGTAATGTTGCGGCTGGTATCTTGTAGCAGGGATTAGGAGAGGAACACCGCTGAATTTGTGGAATACGGAATATAGTATAGTATCCCGGAATTTAGTAATTTTTAGATCCAAAAATGTGATTTCTCTTTCATTGCTTTTTTCCCAGGTAAAATTAATTGTGGGATAAACGGTCGCAAGAAAATCTCCATGGATATCCTGCCAAGCTACTAGAATATCATCAATGTATCTAAGGTATAACAGCAGATATGCTATCATGAGGGGAAAGCTAAAAACCTTGAATTCAATATTCCTCATGATCAATTCTGCCAAAACTGCTGAAAGTGGTGAGCTCATCGGGACTCCTTGCTGCTGTAGATATACTTTGCCCTTGAACTGAAAATAATTATTTTCGGAAATAAAAAGTAGAGCTTCGCGTATTTCTAAAACTTCTTGTGCTATAAAGCCCTTCTTGATTAGTAGCACATTATCAAGCATAACAGCCTCAAACTGCAGTACCGAGGGATAAAGAGCAACTACATCCAACTTGTAGAAACTATACTCATTTTGTGAAATGTTGTTTAGGACAGAAGATATATGGGCGTTCGCTGCAACAAAGGAAAAGGTAACCAAACAGGAAGGAGATAGGAGCCCACTTAATAACTTGGCCAGCACCTTTTCAAGATAGAAGGCTGGGTGGGTCCTTTTATTAACTAGCGATCTCAACAGCCTCCTTATGGGTTTTAACCTCGAAAAAGAGCCTGGGGCAAGCTACGTTGGACGGGGGATTGACACGCATGAGAACAGCAGAAATAGTTGGAAGAGATACTATTTTCTTAACTTTTCTTAGGATGGTAGAAGTTGGATCAGTTTGCAAGGGCACTGCACAGGAATGGCCGAGGAAGTCAGCAGCCCTGGCTACAAAATATTCCTCCTTACATAACACAAACTTTTTCTCTTTGTCCGAGATCAGGAGCCGTAAATTGTTCGTTTCCAAGTACTGTCTTACAAGATGGCTGTTGACATAATTTCTGCTGGCAACCATGGATTGCTTTTGAAAAGTGAGCACAGAAACAATGGAAAGTTCCGTGTTTGGGAACTCGAGACTTGACAACTCTTCAATGCTGCCAGAACCGCCGGGATCGTATCCGATGTGCAGGTGCCGCGTGGCAGAGGGATAAATGCTGATCTTCTTGCTAAAGTGCAGGGAGCACGACATAGTCCCAAAGTGCATCTCCATCAACCAGAAAGACTTCCTTGTATGTCTTCGAGGTGCCTTGCAGAATATGGAAAGGTCGCTTCTTTTGAAGTTTATCAAATTTAAGCATAAGTCTTTGGCTGAAGTAGAGCTCAACCTATATATCGCCCACCTACAATTTACAAAGACCTGCAACCTGGCCTCTCTGTATATCCAATTGGGATGATATTTCATGTTTTGATGTTTAATTAACCCCTTCTGAGCTACGCTCGAGTGTGACTCGAGCAAGTTTCATAGCGTTACGTAAAAAACGATTGTTAAGGTCACTTTTGAAATTTTTTTTTTTTTTTTAATTTTTGGAATGTTTTTAGGTCCCCAAAATTTTTCAGAATTTTTTGCCTGCCCGAAAAAACTTTATCACGATTTTAATCAACCTATAATGATGCGCGCTTCACGCTTTATTGCTTTTTAATGTTTTTTTAATGGGAGTTTTTATCAAAATTAATTAATCGTTCTAAAGTTGTAGTGCAATTTTCCTTCGGCAAAGTTATTTAAAGCTGCTTTCTGATGTCAAAAATGACCTCCGATAGTTTTTTAATTTTTTTAATTAATAGATTTTATTATATATATGTTTAATTAATTGGAGGGGGGTCAGAAATCGCAATAAAAATTATAATTTTTTTAAAATATTTAAAAATATACACGAATTTCGAATTCACCCTACTTTAAACCCTTGTCCTCCCGCGACGTCTATGAGAATGCCCCGGGAAATCCAACTCCATTAACACATTTCTTTTGTTTTTTTCAGTTTTAAGTATTTTGTATGTTTAATTAAAAATTTTTTTAAAAAAGTGGACAAAAAGGGGTTAAAACTGGTTTTATTTATTGTAAAATTATATTCATAATTCATTTATAATGACACAATAAATTATATTATTTGTTCGGAAATTTTCTGAAAATACTTTGTTCATAAATTTTTTGGACTCACCTTGTTTACTTTACACAACTGGCTGTACTGTAGGTTTGTTTATGCACTAAAACACTATGGGTCACCATGTGTCATTATAACATCTACAAAATTTTCAGAACCTTATAGGATCTGTGACAGTTAAGATTATGTGTGATGTTAAGATACATACCTGTCTAGCAATTATACATAAAAATAATTAAACATAAATAAAACAAGGCAAAGAATGGTATAAATCTAAATCTATTAAACATTTTCCCCTTAATCACAATGCACAGATTTTAATTATTAATAGTAATCAATAATAAATAGTATATTCAAACAATGAAAGGTTTGAAAAATCAACGAGAATACATATTTTTGATAGTTGTATTTTTTTCAAATTTTGATATTACAATTGAAAATGTTATACTTGAAAAAAAGCAGTTGCATTAAGAACACAAAGATAATAAAAAAAACCAAAAAAGAAAATAATAAAATTTTTAAAACTGAAAAATATAATTTTTTATTTTGTGTAACATAAATAATTCTAGATTAATTAGAAACTTTTTATCTCAAATTGTATATTACTTGAAATTAAGAGTAAAATATAAAAATAAACTTAGATTAAATTTACCTTATCAATTATCATTTGTTGAAACTCTGCTCTTAAGTTACTTGTTTCATCACTATAACTATCATCATTTACATTAGAATGATGTAATTGCTCTTGTAAAGTTCTTAACTGTTCTTCTAATAATAAAACTTTTTCTTTCCACTTAGTTTCATTTTGAAGTATTTTTTCTTGAATCTCTTCTAAATAATTAATCTATAAAGTAATTATTTATTAAAACTTTTTAAAATCACTAAAATGTATGAGGGCAGTTTTTTCAATTTCAGATGGTCCATAAAACAAAGACAAGTGTAAATATCAAAATTAATTTATTACCAAAAGTTTGGTATAAACATGGTTACTTTTCAACATAATCACCGAGAAGATTGAAGCATTTGTCATATCTGCTTTACAATCCCCTCTTCATAGAATGTTGCTGCCAGTGACTTGAGATAGGCTTTAACATTGTTTTGAAGATTGTCAAGTCACTGGCAGCAACATTCTATGAAGAGGGGATTGCAAAGAACAGATATGACAAATGCTGCGATCTTCTCTGTGATTATGTCGAAAAGTAACCATGTTTGTACCAAACTTTTGGTAATAAATTCATTTTGTTATTTACACTTGTCTTTGTTTTATGGACCATCAGAGGTTGAAAAAAAACAGCCTATGTAATAAAAAAATGTAGTAATGTAGTACAGTATGTCACTTTTTCTACAGTATGAAAATCAGTAAAAAAGAAACAATTTAATAATATTTAAATGTTTATCATTTTAACAATTAAACAAATTAGTTCCAAGTTTACATTGAAAATTATATATTGTAATATTGCAAAGAAATATGAGGGTGAGTCAAAAAATAAGTTGCAATTGGCAAGAACTTTTAGCTGATAAACGATATTTAGATGAAATCTAGTGGCAACACTGACAGTACTTTTGGCTAAAGGTGTAGCAGATTCATCAACATGGATGCAGAGGCTAATCTGTTTTCAGTTATGAAAGACATTGTGTCATTAGGATGTAGTATCCAAATTAGAAATTTGTGCAGAAACTTGTTTCTTGTGGGCAAAATGGTGTAATCCCACTGAAATTCAATTCCAGTTGAAGAAAGTATATGGTGAGAAAGCTTTTGCATGACAATGTCACACTTCATTCAGTAAGCATTGTGAAGGTTCTACTGGAAAAATTCAAATGGGGTGTATGAAAATATCCTCCCTACAGCAAGAAATCTTGTGCCTTGTGATTTCCATGTGTTTGGCTCTATAAAAAGACTTTTCAAATTGCCAATATGAGTCCAATGAAGACATCACAAATGCAAAATGAGAATGGTTATCACATGTTGGAAGGAAATACTTCTGAGAAGGAATAGAAAGACTCATGCCACACTATGATAAATGTTTAAATACACTTGATTATGTCAAAAAGTAGGACTTGGAATGTACATTCACACAAATAAAAATTTGATCCATATGTTTCATACTTGTATTTTTGGTATGAGTGCAACTTAATTTTTGACTCATCCTCATAATAATTTGAATAGATTTGGAATTAATTACCTTTATATTATACTTTTATAAAGCAATATTTATCTTATAAAGATATGTTAATTGAAGAAACTAAACAATATTACAATAAATTAAATAAAAACCTAAATTAAAAAATCATCATTAATTTTTCATTTAATAACATAATAATTTTCTAAAAAATTACTGGTTATTCAAAATAAATAATTAATTTTTACAGGAACTAATGATTCAAGTAAAATAATTTTAATAATATTTACTATAACTAAATACTATCTCTCTTTTAGTTTTTATTTTCATTTATTAAACAAAAATTTCTGTGATAAAATATATAGCTATGGTAATTCAAAAGTGGTGGATAAAGCTTTACGGTGTGATCAATTATTCAATTTACAGTATAAAATGTTAATACACCTCTGCCTGATTATCAAAGCTAATTGAGTTAGAGAGAAATATTTATTTCAAATTATTCACAGTTTTAAGTGATTTAACATATTTGGATTTTTATTTCTGGGATTGTCACCTCTAAAAATTCCCCAAGTTTTTTAACAATTGATAAAAAAGATCCCCAATTTGGAAACACTGGGCAGCATTGAATAAAAACTGCCATATATTCTCAACACAACTTCCTGTTTTCCTGTCTGAACTTGCTGCATGACATCACATCACTAGGTATATGGTACATCAGACAGCAGCTAGGCATTCTGCTGTTTTAACTGAAGCATGCTTTGTGATTCAATTTCATGTCAAATGTCAAAATAAGTGGACTAGGGTTTTTATCACCACTTTCAAATATTGCCAAGTGGCAATTTTGGCACTATGGAGTGCAAACCCTGAAATTCACTATAACAACATAACTATGTTTGATAAAAATTTTGAATATTTTAGATTCCTACTGTATAGATGTTATGTGTGTAGTAATATTTCAAAATATAACTGAGATAATAAATCTTTCATCTGCCATGTGACTACATAACAAATTTTATATTCAGTAATCACTGTGTGTAGTAATATGCGAAAGCCCGGATTTGGAGAAAAATTTGTGGGTGAAAAATTAAAAATTTTCGAAAATTTATTAAAAAAAAATAAAAATAATTTAATTATCAGAAGATATGATCATATCTTTCACTGGAATCACTTCCTTTCCCAGGTGACATATCAAATGTGTCACCAGGAATCTAACAACAAAAGTTATTGGACAAGGAAATCAACATTACCAAAAATAGGCAAGAGGAGAAAGAGAGGAAGACCCCCAAATAAAACACAACATTCAATGACGACACAGAGAATTCATCCACCCTCGAAGGATGGCTGTGTGCACTTGGATACACTTTGCTGCCGATACTCCACCAATAGTCAGTGATCAAAAGCCTAACTGCTGATAGCTGATGACTTCAAGTAGCCACCAAGGACTACAGTGTCTCCTCTTCTGAAAAAGGGCCCAAATCAAGAGAATGATCTTCAGGTAAATACCATGTGCGAGCATTTGTAAACTCTCTGTCTCTCAAATTAAGTTCTGAGAAAAAATGCAAACTTCGATCACAGGTCACAGTGGTGGCAGAGTGACAGTAAAGGCAAATCAGAGACTAAATCAGAGAAAAAACAAAGGGAGCAAAGATGGAGACAAGAGGAGAAACAAATCCTCGAGCACTTGTGTGGAGAAACAGCAGGAAGTACACTTGTGGCAGGCAAAATAAGCAGCCTTAATAATAGAATTAAAAGACAAGTGATGTTGTGAGAGCCAGATACTTTTGATAAAGTGGTACAAGTAGCAATTAGTGAAGAAACAATATATCAATTAAGTAGCAAACCCATCATTAGGGTGATAGACAAAGGAGCGGACCATATTAATAGAAAAATAGATCAGATAATCAGGCAAATACAAGAACAAATATATGAATTAAAGAGTCACAAAAGTCAAAGAAACAAATATAGGTACAGAAATCCTCTAAATGCACAGCAAAATTGCCATCAAAATATTAGAAATAGATTTAGGGATCAACAAGATGACACAAGAAACATAGTAGGTGGCATGCGAACTCAAAGAAACCATTTTCCATATGGAACAAGAAATAGAACAAGCAGCTCACAAATTGGTGAACTTGAACAACTCAACCTCAACCGCAGATACAGTGGTATGAGAAGGAAGAACAATAGGAACTGGTGAAAAAACAGAGGAAGCTATAGGCGGGAGAAACAAAAACCATATGAGATCAAAATTGCTAGATTCAGCAAAACCACAAACTATCCTAAAGATAGAGTTCAAGATGAGGAACTAACACTGTCCTGTCAAATTAACGATGCAACAACACAATTAGCTGTAGATAGAGGTTCGAAAGTGACTCTGTTGTCAAAATCAATAGCATGGAGAATAGGAAAACTTCACAGAGCATACGATAGAAAAGAGATACCATTCTGAAGCATTATCAGAAACAAAATCAATCCATATGAAAGAAGCAAATTCCAATTCAAATTAGGCCCTCTACAATTTTTCTACACATGCTACGTCATCAAATCACATATCCATTCAACAGCTTAATAAGAAGATATATAATTACAGACCTAGAGTTAGGAATAAATATGGCAGATGAAACAATAACACTTCCTGACAGAAGAGGAATAAGTTTCCAAGAGTCTTCTGAGTCAAGAGAGATAACCAAACAAGTACAATGAAAACCCCGACCAACATAAAAATCATTGTCGGAGTTGCTCAACAATGGGAAAAACACCCAAGTAGAAGGAGAGAAAATTAAAATAGACATCAAGAAAGGGAGAAGAGACTGATTCAATTGGAGAAACTGCCAGATCAAATGATCCGATCCTCGAGAAGGAAAGATAATGAACTAATCTCAATTTCCTCGTACCCATAAGACATGTAACCATATTTTATGGCATAAGACACATCTCCATTTTAGCAGTCAATATTTAGGAAAAAGTACAATAAACCAAAATAAAAAAATTGGTGCAGAGTTTATTTGGCATTTGGTATCAATTTTTTTTCTTTTACTGTATACTAGTTTTAAAAAAGTAAAATTAGAATAAACACTTTTATTTATTAAGAAAAACCAGGAATTTAAATGATGAAATCTTTGCATATATTCATATTCTATATATATATATATATATACAGTCGACCCCCCTATAACGTGCGTTCCTATAACGTAGCAAAAAAATTGTAGCAACATACGTATAAAGGAGCTCCTAAAACATGGTCACCAACTCGTTTCGCGAGAAGATTGATAGAATCTGGACCAATAGTGGATGAGCAGCCAAACTACTTTGCTCCGCCCTGCGCCACGCTACGGAGCGGCTAAATTGAGTTTGCTATCATCTGTACAGTATTATATATAAATTATATGTAAATTAGGTACTGTATATATAATTATATATTAACTTAATTTATTGTAACTTTATTATAATTATATATATGCTTTCTGCCGCCTGGCAACACGCTACGGAGATTTTAGGCTAGTAAGTTGAGTTTATTATCGTCTGTACAGTATGTAAATTAGGTACCGTAAGTCTAATACAGCACTAATTTTATACATTTCTTGTGAAAGAAACACTTCTTATTCAACGGCCATAAAAATTATTTATATTAATGATGTCTCCAAAGGTCAAGTTATTTTTCTGCGAAAAATTCGTTATTAGAAATCGCGGCCGCCGTTTCGTGTGCTGTTCCGCGACGAAAACA